GTGACCAAAACAAAATTGAAGGCTATAAAAATTATGGTTTGTCTGAGCAATGACGATTTTATAGGGAGTAATTTACATTAAATTTTGTACTTAGTGGAGGGGTGGTGAATAAATTAGAGAAGAGGGGATGCTTAGAGAAAAAATGGCACATTTCTCACACTGGGGGATTATTTTGAAATATTGCCTTATAAAATTAAGAACTTAAAACTTGTATACTATTAAAATATGGATTATTAGCTATGATTTTATACTATACTAATTGGTATAACATGAACGAAAAAATAATTTAATTAAATTTTGAATATAAGTCACTAAAAACCTTGTGACGTGCATTAAAGGATGCGCATGGTGAGAGGGTTAATATATTCTGTAAATGATTCTCTGAGTCAAGTGATAGTTTAGCGATTTAATTCTTATATCTTTATTTTTAGTAATGTGATTGATATGAAAATATAAAGTTGAAAACAAACGTTTCACATTTTAAGTTAAAATTAAATAGTTATAATTGTTTATAATCATATTTAGAGAAAAATTACAGCATTAGTAAACAGGATCCCTATTTTCAAAATGATTTTAAATTCTTCTTTGTATATTAGCTTAGAAATAATCAGTTATTTGCTGAGTCCATATCTGGATTGCTGTAGACTCCAGCTCTGTTGATTTTAGAGAACCTCAAAATAAAAGCTTTTATGGTAGTTTATAGTCCAATCAAGTAAAAACACTGCCATTCAGTGTTTCTTTTTGATGGTATATGGTAGTGTAAGGATGTCTGGCTATTTCTTGAACAATTTCTGAAAAAAATGAAGAGGGATTTGAACCTCATTGATCTGTGCCTTCTTATAAAACATTAAATACTAAAGTTATTAATTTCTGAAAAAAAATAGGTGGATGGGATTGGGTCCTCTGGACTTCTCCCTAGATTTACACATGCTTATACAACATTAAAGCATACAGTTATTAATTCCTAAAAAAAATTGAAGGGGGGGGGGGGGTACAGACTCCCTAGGCTTCCTCTCTTGTAGATCTGTGCCTTCTTTTACAATATTAAAGAATAGAGTTATTAGTTTCTCTGGCCTCCATTGGCTCAGCCATAAGTCACAGGGCATATAATGTTAAAAATCAAGTTTCAATACTTATGGTAGGGACAGTACAAATAATCTATTATGTAACTTTGTGCTTAACAAAAGCTTAATAAAAATAAATATGGATTTCTGGTATAAAAAAAAAAAAAGTGGAATGCCGATCCAAATCCCCTTGACCCCCTCCCCTAGATCTGCACATGCTTATACAACATTAAATAATATAGATATAAATTAGAAACATAACACAATATAAAGAAATAATATATTTATACTTAATAGCCTTATTAAGTTTGAGTGTAAATAAGTAAAATCTCATGACATGCACAGAAAAAGGTGACCATAAGAAAGGAGTTAAGTGGCTTTTTAAATAAACATCAGTACTTTTAAGTGGCTTTTCAGATAAACAGTATCATTAAGAAGGTCAGTAAGCTGTAACATTAAGTGGCTTTTAAAGATTGTATTGTTTATATCAGACAGTAGTTTAGGAGGACCAACAATCAGTGCCTTTCAATGTAAGAGAGCACACAGTTGAACTTGACATCATGCTTACGTTTCATTTGGAATGTTATTTTGTACTGCATCATTTTGTTTGCTTATGGTGATTGCAATGATACAAATGCTCATGACTTCATCAAGTATTTTGTTTATGTACTGTACAAACCCTGTGAGATGCAAGTGTACATTTTTTGTCTATGATAAAAGCCAAATTGTTGATTCAAAAGATCTATCAAATAGAAAATGACAGTATAGTAGTTATGAAATTCATCTAGGTACAGTATAAAATTAACAACAAAATTAACTGATTAAAATAATGTAAAAAATGTTCTTTATATTATTATCATTCTATTCCTGCTGCTTCAGCCAGTATTAGGTCCATTAACGTTTAAAATCGGAGTGAAGAGTTTACAGACCTCTGCTGCTTCAGCCAGTATTAGGTCCATTAATGTTTAAAATTGGATTGAAGAGTTTACAGACCTCTGCTGCTTCAGCCAGTATTAGGTCCATTAACGTTTAAAATTGGAGTGAAGAGTTACAGCAGTGTTTTTTCACGTCTGCTGCTTCAGCCAGTATTAGGTCCATTAACCTTTAAAATCGGAGTGAAGAGTTTACAGACCTCTGCTGCTTCAGCTAGTATTAGGTCCATTAACGTTTAAAATTGGAGTGAAGAGCTTACAGACCTCTGCTGCTTCAGCCAGTATTAGGTCCATTAACATTTAAAATTGGAATGAAAAGTTACAGCAGTGTTTTTTTTCATCTCTGTACTTTTTTACCTCCTTCAGGCCATTGCCACATGTGAGAATAAAATCTTACAACCCACCTGGAAACCCTCTTTTTGCAAGACAGTTTTTAGTTTTTGGAGAAAATGAAGATATCTGTAGAATTGGTGAGTATCATATTTAATTTTTTTTTTTAATTATAGAAAAGTGTGTTACAGACAGTAAAACAAAATACTAGTCTTGTTCTTCTTTTGTTTGTGATTTGAAACCTGTGGTTTGTGATGAAAACTAGGTGTTCTTTTCTTACAGTAATTATTATATCTTGACCTAATTAACCATAAAAAACTTCAGGTGCAATTTGATGCTCTTTAGTATTACTTTATGTTTTGTTACATTACTTATTTGGCTTGTTTTCTATGATTTTAAAAACATGAGTTAGTATTCTAGAAATGGCAAACAGCATACATTTTTATAACCTCATAAGCTAACCCAGAAATGATTCCTAATTTTATGAAATACTAGAAGATAAACAAATTGAATCATGGGTGTAAGTTTCCTATAGGTCATCTTTGTGTGGATGTTTAAGGTATCATGATGTTTCAGTCTCTGCTGAGGCCTTCTTGTTGAGATTTGGTCTCAATAATACATCAGTAAAAAAGAAATAAAAATGTTATACATTTCAAAAACCAAGTCAGGAGCTGTCCATTGGGAATTCCATTGCTACCCTGTCTAAGTTATGTAAAATTTATCTACAGAAAATTTTGAATTATGTTCTATTTTTTGCCACGGCATAGCGGCTCAGAGAAGAGCTCTTTTAGCTCATAGCTCAGTCATCTCTTGACTGATTGATGTATTTGACCATGCCCAAGATCTCGTAGATTAATTTACTCTAATCCTGCCTTAAAGAATTTCAAGTTGAGGGTAAAGTGGTAGAGATCCTGATGAGTAATAAAATGGAAACGGGTGTACGTGCGCCACATGCCTGGTATTGCTCGCACACAAAAATATAGCTAATAAAATGGAAAAAAAGGTTAATTTACTGTAATCCTGCCTAAAAGAATTTCAAATACCATGGCTATTTAGGATTCCCTCTTGTTTTAAGATCATTTTTATGTATATCTGTTGAAATCTAGAAAAAAACACTAGAAATATTTATAAATGTTTTGTATATTTATTCCTTGTTTTGGAGCTCCTTTAATTCCTGTTGTAAGTGCATGATACTGTAAATCAAGATGATGGATTGAGCATGGTTAATGGTATATTATTGTTTCAGTATTTGGAATGTTGCTAGGGGATGCAATCATCCTGGATACACTGGAGGATGCAGTCAGCTATCGAGATACGGTAATGGTTGCCTTTAATATTCATTTTGTGGTAATTATTCAATTAATATATTGGTAAAATATAATACTTAATCCAAGCATTATCTTATTCTTCACAATTTGTTTATTATTATAAAGTTAATATGAAAAGTACATTAGCTGCATATTTTTTCCATCTGCAGTTAACAGTTTTTATCACAAGTTTTTGACCTGTTGGTTTCTTCTAATGTTTCACGAGCTTCTGTTATTTAAACCAGTTCTTTCAAAGTTAGTATCGTATGATATGAAAATTTAATTTCGCACGAGATTCTCTATAGATATCAAATTATAGTGAAAATGTGTAATTTAGCTTATTAGTGTACTATACCCCATTATGTAGGATACTTTCTTTAAATCTGTAGTAAAAATATTAGAGTATTGAAGACTGATGTTCACATTGGAAAATAATTTTATGTAAACAAAAGTATTTTTTATTACACACACACACACACCTGCCTTTCCTTTCCAAGATAAAACTTAGAAGCTTTCATAAAGAAATTTAATTATGGTACCTTAGAGACTTTCGATAAAAAAGCACAAAAGCATCTTGCACACCTAAATTTTCAGTTTCATTATTTTCATTAATATAAATGGGGTGAATAAGACTTCCAAGTTTTAAAAAATATGTTAGAATTTATAAGTACAAAAGAAAGCATTCTCTTCAAGATTCAAAACCGAAATTTTAAGTATGATTATGATTGTATGCTATTCAGTTCTGTTGGAGATAAACGTATGACTTTTCTTTGTAATTACACACAATTTCTATTCTTATCTCTTATAGTTTATAAAGAACAACATCAGCTGTCCAACTTTACTTACAAAAACGGGAGAACGTATTAGGAATAATGGAAAATTTGGAGGGGCTAGTAACAAAGCCCCTCCCATGGAGAATCTGGTAAATGGAGTGTTTGGAGAACCACCCCTTAAAGATTTGGAGAAAGTGGATGAAAAGTTGGGTAAGAAATATATATGTGTGTGTTTAATAGTTATAAATTTTGTATCTACATCACTTAAATGTTGTATGTAGTGAACAGTGAAGTTAAGAATATCCAGTTTCTTTCACTAAGATATTACCAGCAAATCAAAACAAGCTATGGACAGTATTTTGTGGTCAAACTTAGTCACTTAATAGAAAATCAAAACAAGTCATGGACAGTTGTTTGTGGTCAAACTTAGTCACCTACTAGAAAATCAAAACAAACTGTGGACAGTATTTTGTGATCATCTTTACGTACCAGAAAATCAAAACAAACTGTGGACAGTATTTTGTGATCATCTTTACGTACCAGAAAATCAAAACAAACTGTTGATAAATCCTTGTTGTCAAAGCAGTGATATAAACTGTTTTAAATGTGTTTTCCTATTGGGTTATTATTATTACATTTGTAGCATGTGTCTATAAGCTTTCTTAAAGTGTCATCAGTTAGCAATATATCACCTGTTTTTCATGGATAAACATATTACCATATCTCAAAGAAGTTTACATTCTTATGGAAAAGTAGCAAATTGTGTAATGATAATAACATGACCCGATGAAGTTCACTCGGACAAAATAATGATCATATGGTTCTTTTCACCCATTCATCACTCGTAAACATTTCTCTGTAAACACATTCTTTACAGAAAGAAAAGGGTAGCTGTAAGTAAAAAAAAAACAGGTTGCCTCAGAAAGAATTTAAGAGATAAAATTAAAGAAAAGTATCATAAGTTTAAGAAATTTAAATTCACTGGTATGACAGGAGATTTAGAATATTATAGAAGACCAAGAAAGTTAGTGAAACAGGAAATTCGGACATCAAAAAGGATGTA